TGTTACGGGGAGTAAGGAAATGGTGGTTGAACAGATAAATTGTATCAGTCTTTGTGGTTGAGCATACTTGAACGTCCCAGAGAAGTAATATTTGACAAACTAATGGGCCTAAAGACAGAAGTCCTGAGGCCCTGATGTCTTGCATCCTAGGATCCTAAAAGATGTAGCTATAGAGATACTTTGTGCAAAACACAAAGCTAGCACACGGGCAGCAGAAAGTCAGGAAGGCTAATGGAATGTTGGCCCTTTATTTCAAGGCGATTGGAGTTTAAGATTAGGTAAGTCTTGCTGCAATTGTACAAGGTGCTGGTGAGACCACATCTGGAGCAGTGTGAGCAGTTTTAGACCCCTCATTTAAGAAAAGGATATGTCATTAGAGACAGTGAACCTTGTCTGAACTAGGAAGATCACTGGTATGGAGGGATTGACTATGAGCAAAGGTTAAACAGGCTGGGACTCTACTCAGTGGAGTTTAGAAGAATTGAGAGATGATCTCAATAAAACATACAGGATTCTTTAAGGGGCTTGACAGAGTAAATGCTGAGAGGATGTTTCCCCTCATGGGAGAGTCTAGGACCATGGGGCATAGCCTCAGAGTAAAGGGGCACCAATTTAAGACTGAGATGAGGAGGAATTTCCTTGAGATTTGAGAGTCATTGGAACTCCTTGCCACAGAGAGCTCTGGGGACAGAGCCCTTGTGTCTGTTTAAGGCTGAGAGAGATTATTGATCAGTCAGGAAATCAAGGGTCACGGGGGAGGAATGTCTCATCAGCCATGATCCTATCGAATGGTGAAGCAGTCTTGAGGGGCCGAACAGCTTCCTTCTCCTATTTCTTAGGTCTTCTGGAGTATAAACAATGGTAGTGGGACAAATGAAGAAACAAAAGATTGGTGTAGAGGCATAAATGGGAACGAACAGACGCTGTCTGGAAATATTGTGCATGGATATCATAGAATCCCTGCAGTGTGGAAGCAGGCCATTCGGCCCATAGATCCACATTGATCCTCCAAAGAGCATCCTGTAACCCTGCAATCCCCATGGCAAACCCACTTAGCCTACACATCCCTGGACACTATGGGCAATTTAGCATGGCCAATCCACCTAACCTCCACATCTTTGGACCATGACTTGAAGGTATTGAACGCTAGTTTCAGAAGTGAAATGCCTAATTGAAAGCAGCAGTGCTGTACCTCCAGCTCACAAAGCTTGGAACAATATCAGAGGCAGAAGAGAGAAATCCCAATCAAAGCAGAGAATTAAAACAACAAGTGACCAGAAGCTCTAAGTCCCATTTGTCGACTGGACTGAGGGTGTCCTCAAGTGGTCACCAATGTAGGTCTGGCCTCCTGTTGTGGAGGAGATTGTCTTGTGAGCAACGAATACAGTATACTAAATTGAAAAACCTTAAGGTTCTGTTTTCACCTAGAAGTGTTAGGGAACTAGCACTAGGGAAGAAGTTAAAAGGGCCAGTGTCGCATCACCACTACTTGTGTGGGAACAAGTGAGGCTATTGGTGGTGACTGAGGAATACCCCAAGGTGTTGTGGAGTTTAATGCTAGAACGATAGGTGTGTTTAGTGAAGGTTTTGTGCTGAAGATAGTACAAATGGCAGAGGATGGTCTGCGGGGTACAGAGGGTGCTGGGCTGGAAGGTGAGGATGAGAATCCTCTTTGAGGAGATAAAAGGGTGAGAGCAGAAGTTTGAGAAATGAAGAGCATATAATCTAGGGCCAGGTCACATCATAATTGAAGTAAATTTTTCTGTTGGAAAGTATTTACATAAATGAAGGTTGATTCCTGATTTTTGTTTTTCTGTTTCACTTTCAGGATTTTAAACACAACACTGTTTGAAAGTTGGGAGATCATTGGACCATATCCATCCTGGTGGTTCTTCAATTTGCTGTTGCTTATACTACAGGTTCTACATGGCATCTGGTCATATCTCATTATACGCATTGCATATAAAGCTATTGTCAAGGGAAAGGTAATTTTTAAAAACCATTTGAAATAGACACTATTATGTTCTGCTGCCTCTGCTCCAGTTCATTGAATCAAACTCCCATCAAAAAAGTTTGCTTTCAAGTGAGGAGGGAGACAGAAATGATGTGTTTAGATTGGATTCACTGTCTATGTTTTTTTTTTAAATTGAGGCTTTCTCTACAAACACTGTTCACCTATAGCCGAACAAATAAACTATGAACTAGGGTAATGGCAGCCTGGTTAGAAACTGAATGTTGACAGTGTTGCACTGTTGAGCATTGACAAATGAGTTAACTTTTCAATTGTAACCTCCTTTGAGAAATTGCTCTGCTGTCAGGTGATGCTGATTTACTTGTGTACTTTCTGAAAGCATTAATCACTGACCTTTCGGAATTGTGTGACCCAATTTTGCTGCTGATTTAAGTGTTTATGAATTAATGTTTTCCTGACGAACTTTCCCTTTAGCAGCCACACAAAGTACATGCCAAAGAAGCTGCTTTTCTGGGTGAATTTAACATTGAACAAGCAGACAATTTGAAGGAATACGTTCCACATGAGACTGGATTGCTGTAACAAAATTATGCATTGAGTTTGGTTTCTCTCTGCTAGGGGACGTGCTTTGAATTTGTATGGAGGGTGAATGTCAGATGTGAAGAAATGTTGAGGGAGATGCTCAGCAAAAATAATCTTGGGGAGTACTTCCCAAACTGTTTCGTAGTGTGATCCAATCAGCCAACTGGGGGAAATAACTTCTGGAGTTAAATCTATTGCAAACTCAAGCAGCTAAATTTTCTTCAGTTTCAATTGCATCAAAGATGGGCTCTCTCCTGCACTTGCTGTGCCTGCCATTGTAATGGGTGGAAGGCAGTTTTACTTTCTAGCTTTCAATTATTCTGGCCCAACAAGGACTAGAATTCAGTTTTGAATTTTAACTGGTTCACTCTGGCATTTTTGTTTGTTTTGCAGCCACTGTAAGGTGATATATTTGTGGAGTTTTTGCAGTGAAGCTGTAGAAAAAAGATCCTGATAAATGAATGAATCAGTAATACACCACCTGTGTTTTCAGATCCTGGTGCTGCAGCTGTTTCTTGGTGTTCTGTTTCTTCTGTGTCTATGTGTATTCACTTAGACAGTCCAACTGAGCAAGAATTTCTTGACCAGCTTTTCTGTGGTTCAAGATTTGGTTTCATATTGTCTCTGTTTTTTCTTCCCTCCCCCTGCCCCGTATGTTTCATACACTCTGTCTCTGTACGCCGGGAAGTCTGGGAAGTGGGACCTTTTGCTTGTAAGTGTTGCACCAGTTGGAGTCAGTAGTCCAATACTTTCCCTGATTTCTGTCTGCAGCTACCTGTGCTTTGCATGGCTTTATATCTTCATCGGAATGCTCTACTTCTGCATTGTTTCCTTTTTTGCTTTCCACGACATTAACAACCTGAAATGAAGGCACCCTAACCAATTACCAATACATACTGTGCAATAAAACGCTG